CCACTTTCAACCCGGAGACCGGGTATGGGTTTGGACACCAATACGTCGTCGCGGTCTCAGCGAAAAACTTCTGAAACGCTATTTCGGACCCTACAAGATCATCCGACGCCTCGGCGATCTGAACTACGAAGTTCTACCCGACGGAACGCGCCCATCTGCAAGACGTCAGCCGCGACCCGAGGTGGTGCACGTCGTTAGGCTGAAGCCGTATTACGAACGATAGAACTTTCCACTCTCGTCGACGGGTGAACTGTGAACTGTGAACTGCGACTCGCGATTCTGCTGCCTCTTTGTTTTGGATTTGTTTTTGTTTGTTGTTCTTCGTTTTGTGCTGCATCGGGACGATGCACTTTTTAAAGGGGGGGGATAATGCCGCGCGCAGGGTCACGGACTTGTAGAAAGTTCTCGTTCATTCTTGCTTTGGACATAACTATCGTTCATCCTTGTTTTTGTTGTTCTAGAAAGTGCTTGTTCATTCTCGCCCCGAGCGCGCTACGCTCGAACCTTTTCCGCCGAATCTTCGAGATAGTGACTCACTCTAGATAAGAGGCCGCCCGCGACCTTGTCGAGTCAGTTTCGCCCCAGCGCTCGACTCCGCTGTCTCGCCGACCTCGACGCTCGCGACGCTTTGTTAATATTTTCTATTCTCCTTTTTGTTTTCGGCACAAGTTCGCCACATTAAACGTTTATTTCTTCCTGTTTATTTATTGTCATTCTGGTCACCACCCGTGACAATATCTCTATAGCCCCCAGAACAATTCTTCGTGGGGCAAGTGACTTGCTCATTCACATTGATAGGCTTAAGAACAGATGCCCAGTTGACATCCGTAAAATAATAGTGCATTTAAATGTAGTCGCCTGCCGAGAAATTACTATACGAGGTGTGAGGAAGGCATCTTTAGGAAGGAGGAGTGCAAACTGGTGAAATACGGGAGAACACTACATCAAGTGCAGGGTGATATATATCTTCAGGGACCAATGGGGATTGACTCCGAACGATGGAAACGCGTTCCATACTAGAGAAACATGAATCTAAAGAATTCTCCTGGTTGTTAAAGGGGTACTCTGGCGATTTTTTTAGCTGCCTCAACTAACTATATTTCCTGACTCCCCGGCCTTTACCCTTTCCGGTATGCTATTTAGTATCACGAAATTCATAATAGTTATTGCCAATGCGGCAAATGAAAATGGTGCAAAAACCAACATTCAAACATACGCGCACTTTTCAGTGCCGTGACGTCAGTGGCGGGCAGGCTTGCCAGTCGAGCGAGCAGTCTAAAAAATAGAATATGCCAATCATTTGTTCCGTGCTGGAGCACGGGGATTGGAGCGAGCATCCAAAGCATTCATTTGACACCATGAAACTGCTTCGAATCAGTTGGGAACAAATTCTACAGTCCAAAGAGTGAACCCCTGCACTTTAACTGACGTCACTTTTTCGTTGTTGCCAGTAGAGACTTTCAGTTTGAGAAACACGGTGAGGACCAAAATTGTAAATTCTATAACTTCGTGAAAAAAAATTATTTTGACCTAATATTTGGGATACTATTTTGGCGATGTTGTTTGGCGAGTTTAGCAAAATTTCAAGCCAATCGGGGACCATAAAGAAATCGCCAGAGCACCCCTTTAAGAGCATAATTGTGCTGTCTGAGATCTAAAAACGATACGAAGTTCAGTAGACGGCTGCATTTCTGCTTGCAATAAAAGTTGTCAGTGTGAACATTTAAATTTGTCCAGTTAATACCTGGAGCGTTAAAGTCCCCCATTATCAAAAGGTTGCACCTATACAACTCTTTCACTATATTCTCAATGTTACAAGACACCTGATGAGGTGTAGTTTGAGGAGGGAGATAAAACAATCCGAATAAAACACCCGCTTTGTGCACTCGATTTCAACCGATAGACACTCAGGGGACCCCTCTAAATCCTCGCGTCTTTTTGAATTGTACCGCCTGTCAACTGCAATCATCACACCACCTCCTATGCTACCTCGCAAAAAAAAGTCACGATCGCGATGAAAAAAATTTCAAAATAGGGCGGAAAGTTATCTTCAGAGCTAATGGTGGGACGCAACCAGGTTTTCAAGCAAGCACATAAAAGAATAGTTAAATACAGTAACACGAGAAAAGAAACACTCGGCCTTCGTCCGAAGACCACAAAATGTTTTGATAAGACAGCCTAGTCTTACTCATCAGTGTTTTCTGCAGTGGTTTTTGGCCACTTACCGAGATACTTTGAGCAAATCATCTTGAAGAACAGCTCTGAAGGGCTTGAATAAACCCCAGTCAGCGCAACGGTTCGAGCCCTCGGGCATGTGGACATGGGCATTGAATGTGCCGTTCGCTCGTCATGTCCGTCACCCTTGGAGGCAGGCGGATCTTCGAGCATACATTGATTGAGTAAAATTATATGCACGGGCGCGTGCACGTTGACTGGAAATTGCTATGCACACGACGTTTTGAAACTCGTATAAAACGAATGGTTAGAACGAATTTCCGAAGCGGTAGCGTAGCTAAGTGGCAAGGTGTCTGCCTCATACGCAGCGGACCCCGGTTCGGTCTGCAGTGTGGACTTACTTTTTTTTTCTCTTTTTTCTTGAACATTTTATTTTGTCGATATTTACTACATTTCTTTTTTATGATTAACACTTAAAAAAAAATGTTGCCAACAAAATTTTGCTGAACTAAAGGGTATAAGACTTCCTTTCCGGATGTGCAATGAAGGAAAGCAGGGCTTGGGTTGTCAGCTGGACGCCGCAACGCGGCGTGTACGGAGGGGGGGGGTGCCAAGTGGGTTAATGCTTTTGCACTTAGCAGCCACACACTGTCGCTGTGAAGCGGCGTGAACGCAGGTTGGGGGGGGGGGGGGCGGGGAGCTTTACTTATATCGATTTCCACCATGCCCGTAACATTTGCGCCTAGAACCGAGAGGAGTCGGACACCCACCCAACGATTCCGATGCTAGAGATGCCGCGGATCTCCCAGCTCCAATAGTCTGTCCTCTTGGCAGCCCGAGGGGGTGAGGAATCTGAATCTGCGCATTCCTGGCTGTCAGCCATGGTGAACTAGAAGGCTGGAGGCCCCCGACACTCTGCCCGAGGGCAGACACGGGCCACGGCAGCCGGTTTCAAAGCTGCGCCGGCCTCCGCTCTCCTCAAGCCTGTGATTTCTGCAGGGCCCGCCTTTACGTCATCGCACAGTGAGCAGACGAGCTATAGCGAACCAGAATAAGGCGGGTAGTGGAAAAAGCGGCGGCCTCCATGTGAGGCACTTTGTGTAGAATCTATCAGGTGGCACTGGCGTTCCATCCCGGACCACTTCTGCCGGCGGCGAGCCCGTTCGAAGCGTAGCTGGTTTCAACCTTATTGGTTCATTACCACGGCCTGTATGTGTTTCATGGATGTTGCAACGTCTATGAATTAATGTTTAAAGTTTATTCGCGCAATGTAGCGATTTTGTGTTTTCGGTACGCTGTAGTGTTTGCCCTGGCTGGCTGGCTGGCAAACGCTCCTCCATACGGACCCATCTACCTCCCTAGTCTTGCAAGGCACCCAGAGTATCTTGTCTTTTTGGAAATAAAGACCATAATTAGTATTCTGCTTTGATTTTCAGTTATATGCCCATAATAAATGCGTGTACCACTTTCCTTTGTTAAAGAACATGCCATTGTGAAAAATAATTGTTGAAAAGCTACACTTCCATTTGGAACGTGCTGAACGAAGGAAAAGTAGGTAAAATACTCGTAATCATTGCGGCACTCTTTGTGGCACTATTTCTGGAGTGTTGTAGCGTTCGACTTCCGCCGTCCGCCGCAGGTGATCAATCAGACGACTCTTTCCTTGGGGTCAAGCGGGGTTTATTACCATGACTCCTGGATTCCGACCTGGCCAAGACTCGGGACAGCAACTCCTGTCGGCCGCACTGGCCACCCCTTTTAAGCCCGTGCGTATGCAATGGGCACCGGGAGCCGCCCCCCCGCTAGTCGCCGGTTTGGCCGCCGTGTGGCGGGCCGAGCGCCCCACACCTCTCCCCCTTAGAGGTCGAGGTCTAAGATGGCCTCCTCGTGGGCCGGGTCGCGGAGCAGATCCGGGCGGAATCGGCGGAGCACCCGGATGGCCTCCGCGACTTTCAACGGGCGGGGAGCTGCCGGAGGTGCAGCAGGAGGTGGTGCGGCTCGGCGAGCCCAGTCCGCGGCGACGCGAGCTTGGTGCAAGGCGCCCGCCAGGTGGATGGGGTGGTGCAGTTCCGGCACTCCACAGACGGGGCACAGCAGGCATCGAGGCTCAGGCTGTAGAAGCTCTGTCGAGCCTGCTTCCTCGCCTTCATGAGGGCCTGAAGACTGATGTTGGATGAAGCTCTCCTGTCGTCGCCGAATCCACCCTGGAGGTCGTGGAAGACGTGATCTTGCGCGAACCGTCGGAGCAGCGCCCCTGTGTAGATGCGCAGTAGGATGGATGAGATGGTGATGGGCCTGAAGTCTCCGCCAGTAGTGGCCGAGCGGGACTTGGGTATGAAAACTCTTGGCCACCTTGAGGTCCTCGGGAAGCATAGCGAAGGCCAACCAGTTGGTGAAAATGATGGCAAGAATGGCTGGTGGAATCTGGAAACCTCGTTCAGGGTAAGGCCGTCCGGGCCAGGGGCAGTCTTTGCGTCGGTGTTCTTGAGCACTCTTTGGAGCTCTCCTTCGGTGAACGGCTCCACCTCTACGTTGAGTACTTGTTCGGATGTTATGAACCCGTCAACCGGTTTTGATGGTGTAGACATGAGAAGGTCGTAGACCCGGTGGAGCTCCGAGAAGAGGACTGCTGGGTCAGCCCAGTCCAGCCCCAACTCGTCGACGAGCACCTTAGGCCCCAGACTGTACAGCCGTTGATGTTCTGCATAGCGTTCGTTACGGCGCTGGTTACGGTTCTTGGCTAGACGACGCTTCTTTTTCTTGCTGCCCTCGGTGCCTCCCCTCTCCCCAGGTCCTCTCCTATCTGGATGGGGTCCAGCAACCCTTGAGCGATGGTGACAGGGGTTCCTGGTGCGGGCTGCAGACGCACCCAGGCAGATCCGGCGTCGTGAACGCGGACCGGTTGAATAGGAACCGGCTGCTTGTGTGCCGCCGCCTTGAAGGTCTCCAGGATCTCCTTGTAATGGCGTGTATTTCGCTGCCCTGTGATTCCCTGTGAGGACTGGGTGGTGAATACCCTGGCAAAAGCAAGGTTCATATGAGGGTGGTCCTTGCAGGTGATCTCTGCCCTGGCCAGTGCCGTCAGTTCCGAGACGGTCCACCGCGCGTTGAACTCTGCTGGTGGAAGAGAGTTTGCGGTGCCAATGTACGTGTGACCTCTGCGATGATGGATTTAGCAAAGGGACCAGGAACGATGACAGTTGGCGGGGTGTCTGGCGAGGGGCCACAAAGGGATGAAGTTCGGAGTAAGGGTGAGACATCCTTTCCCCGTCGCGTGCCGAGCTCCCTGCGCATCGCCTCTGCGCACTGGGGCACCAGACGGTAGTCCCGGACGCTCTGCCATGTTCTTCTTAGCATCAATGCAGCGAGCTCTTCGTCACTACGCATGCACAGAGAAGCCTGGAGCTTGCACAGCACGAGTGCATGAGTGTCCCTCTCTGTCCAGGGCCTTGCCTCCGGTGTAGGGGGGATATCTCGGGGGGTGACCGGGGTTGGAGAATGATGTATGGACTTCTCGCTTCACCGCTGTGGTCTTGGCGTGGTGAGGGGTGATGAGGGTATGTCCGTCTGCAGGCCGGAGGAATCTTGCACTGATGGCAGTGGTCCCCCTGGAGTGGCAGTGGGGGGCTCACCATGTGCAGGAACCCTGGAGTCCGGCCGAGGTAACCTGCTCCGCAGCTGTTCTTGCTGTAGCAAGTCCCTGTACAACTTCCGCCCCCTGATGCCCTTGATGGTTTGCCAAGGTACCCCTGCGTACCCCTTGGCGAGTTCTTTGTTGGTAAACTTCATCTTGGCGGGCATCGACAATTCTTGGACCGCCAAAGTCCTGACGTCCTCCGCGGTCCAGTCACCTGCTGGTGGGAGACGCAAAGCAGGGGTGCTGGTTGTGAAGGGCATCGACATGTCTGCCCTCTTGGAGTCCCGGGAGAACTCTGGGTGCTCCTTCTCCTCGGTGTGACTTGCAGGGGAAGGAGTGGAAGCCTGCGGAAGCTCGTTGCTGGCCACACTGTGTGAGTCGGCGTTCGTCACTACGGTTGAAGTGGGCGATACTAATGGTTTCTTCCGACACCTTGTGTAATGAGACGACATGGAGGTGCTCTTGGTGTACGTTTTGGCGAGGCAATAGAAGCACCTCCGTACGAAGTGACAACTATGAACATGTTCGTAGTGCCCCCCAGAGAGATGCGAGAAGTTAGTCGTTTGTCGCACAGGTGGCAGACAATCTCCTCTGAGGGATACAGCCTCTCAAAGGTTTGCTAACACGCTAGGTGATGGATGAGTCCCTGACATGCTGAAATAAATAGGAAAAAAAAATATGAAGCACTATTCCCCCAGCCGCTTGCGACACAGGGTATTTGTATTTAAGTGTAGGCTGTGAGGCCGAGAGGGAGAGCCTGGTAATGTGGCCTGTGCTGTACAGGCCACAGTAACTTGTTCAAAAGGCACAAAGTTCCCTAGAGCACTAGATTATACTAGTCCTGCAGACTACGCCACTACATGTAGTGAAAACCAGCTAGTGGTGCCCTGCGTAGCCCCAAAGCGTAGATCCGATCCACAGGGCTGCATGCCGAAGCACAAAAAAAAACCCCAAAAACCATGTTTATTGCGCCAAAGTGCCGAACTGCGCTTGATTACGAACAAAAAACCTACAAATGTTGCTAAAAGAAAGGAAAGGAAAGTGAAAAGACGTTTTTCTCTGCTGCTAGTCTAACAGAGGTGGTGAAATCCACGGGTGGAACGTGTTGCCCTCTGTTGATGGCCGGCGCAACTAAACAAAGTTGCATGCGCTCCGAGTTCGCGTGCAAAGTTCGAACTGGAAACCGGCAGAGCTGCCACGAGAAAAAAAAAAGGATGGCAGTGGGACCAGGGACTTTTGTGCGTGGTTCGACGCACGGAGACTGAAAAAAAAAATGTTTAGTGTAGGAACCAGCGGTCCACTAGCGCCTAGCACTAACTCCAGCAGCCAAAAAACGAGTGACCGTTAAGGGGTGAAGAAAGCCTCAGCGGCCGGCTGCTCACACGTTTGGAGAGGTGCTGAAACTGCGCTGGCGGACTTGAGAATCTTCCAAGAGCAGCGGGGGGTACCCGGCGGTGTCCGGGAGCACGCAATAGTCGTGGAGGCGTGCGGACCTGGCCAAAGGCGCGATCGCCGGGAACTCGGCTCGCTAACCAAACGCAGCCGAAACGAAGCTGACTTTCTCTTTACCCACAAAATACCCAAGGCATTTGGCTTTTTTTTTTTTTTTTTTTTTTAACGAGTAGGACTTGTGCACAAAAATCGTTTCCTCGCCCACCCCTTCGCAGAGGCATCAGGCTGATCTTTGGCATGAAGTCTGGAAGTCCTTATCCTCTCCAAGGGAGAGGGACCCACCAATAGCCCCATGGCAACACACAACCGCCGGGGCGCTTCATCGCCCGTGCACCACGGAGGTCATCTGCTGATGCCGACGAAAGCACCTGACCCCCCCCGAAGGCAAAGTATAGTCAATACCTTAAAATCCTGTCTACCAAACCCAAGATTGGTAAGAGCTGCAGCACTTTTTGGCGACCAAACACTTGATATATATGTGATAGTCAAACTAGTCACAACCGGTGCAACACTATTGGCCCCTTTAATAATATCCAGAAGCTCTGGAACACTATAGTTTGCACTTTCCGCTCATGTGCGGCATCTGGGGTGGAATACGTACCCACCACCTGTGTATCAACCACAGTCATCTGACTACCTCCTGCAATAACGAGGTCTGGCACATATTTCTGTGTTGCGGTGTGGCACTCGGGTTCTACCAGCACCTCCCATCCCTTTTCTTTCAGATGACCAGGAGCATACTGCACTAAACTATCATGTCGTTTGATTCTGGCACTGTGCGTGCAGAAGCAATTTTGCGTAATGTGTCCCAGTGACTCCGCGGAGTCACAACCGGCCCGACGAGTCAAGACGTCCCGACCCCTTTTAGTCCTAGTCATGTGAGGAAGCGCATTTGCCCTCGTCTTTACCAAATCAATGAACCTCTTTCCATTCATCGGACGTGTACCTTTTCCAACCCACACCTGCGAAGACGGTACACGTGAGCACTCCTTCAGGGCAGCACCGTCTGCACTCTTGTGCCACTCTCTCGCCCAAAACCTGGATACAGCACCCCTAGATCGAAGCACCTTGCCCTTAAAGATGAACGACCGTTCTAGTCAATCTTTCAAGTCGACCATGTGCGGCAGCTGCAAGGCCACGGCGCACGCAGGATGCGATGACGTGCCCAGTGCCAACAATCTATGCAGTGCCATACCTGGTATGGCGGTACGTAAACAAGGGGCACCAAGAGAGTCATAGTTACTCCCGCCGTTTATTCGCGCTTTGATGAATCTCCTCACGTTGACATTCAGAGCACTGGGCAGAGATCACATTGCATCAACACCGACCGGAGGCCATTGCAGAGTGTGTCGGTCATATCGCTTTAGGTTCCGTCCACAGGGACCAGCAGCCATCTCCCCCTTTCAGCCTTCTCCTCCCATTTACACATAATGCCCCTTTAAATTGAATATAAATTGGAACTAAATTTATTGGTAGCTCTCGACTGAATTCAAACCCATGTGCCCACAGTTTGGAGCGCGGTGCTTTAACCACTCTGCCATCGGCAAGAGTTCATAGCCGCTTCCAAGAGCGGGGTTTTATATCCACGGTTTTCTTTTTCAGGGGAGCACTAGCAGCACTGCCAAATTTCTGAATATGGCACATGATCACGTAACATTATATGACCACATAAGTTGCCTAATCACGGAGATTACGGGATCATGTGTCACCTAAGTTCAGGCCTAATTAAATCCTGCAAGTGCTAAGTAGGCCAGCATGATTACAAAATGATAACCAATACAGTAAAACCTCGTTATAACAAAGTTGAAGGAGCGGTCGTAGTTATTTCGTTATAACCATTAGTTTGTTATAGCCAATGTCCATTTCTCCATACTATTAGCAAGCAAGGGGAATTATGATTGCCTTGTTATATCCATTAGTTTGTTATATCCAATTTTGTTATATCGAGGTTTTACTGTAGTGTAAGGTTACGTATCGCATGTCACGTAAGATTAGAAATAAATGGAGCGTGCAAGGCTTAAGTAGGTATGCGTTCTTACTCTTCCTTAGCGGATGGGAGTGAAGAATGCACGAAGCAAGAGGCAGGCAGAAGATGAGGCTGAGCAGCCATGAACATTGTGCCCAGCAATCCCCATATGCACAGCACGCACATCATGTGTATGGTAGAGCTTGACACATTTTGTGCTTCTAAGGCTTTGACAGGATAGTCAAGCTTGGGTAACTTTTTTAAAGTGCAGCTTTTAGACGCCCGTTTCCGGGTTGAGCGGCGTCGGCATTGGCGTAAACGCGTGTTGCATTATGAGACCTTTCCCGTAATGACGTCACACTTGAAGTCTAGCTCAATTTAGCAGAAAAAATGTAACGGAAATGTTTCTGCTAAATTTAACGGGGAAATCGACATCACGTGGCCTCAACACCAATTAAGTTTCCCCGCTGAATTTAGCGGTAGAGTTTCGGTAAATTTCCCGCTGAATTTAAGAAGAATATTTCCCGGCTTTATTTAGCGGGTAAATTTTCGCTTAATTTAGGGGGAAATTGAGCGGAAATTTCCTGATTAATGGGAGGGAAGCAGGAGAGGAGGAGGAAAGGGTATGGAGGGGGAGCAGGGACATACCCTCCCCTCCCCTCCTCAAGAGCTGCGCTCTAATTTTACATTACAGAGAATTGTAAACGTCTTTCATATTTTTTTCTGTTGATCTACACTATTGCCATCGCAACATTAGAATTGCTAATCTTGTGAAAAAAAGTTCCTAATTTACCTTGCCATCAGTGACTTCAAACAGATGCGGCTCACTGACTGGAACAGCAGTGACTGCAGCAGCAGCGACTGTAGCAGCCTGCCCTCGTTCAGGCACTGTTAATATAAGCTTCATTGATGAGAGACAGCTAAAAAACTGCACTTCGAACTGATCACCAAACCTATTCGAATCCAATTAGCATAAGCCTCAAACCTAAAGATTGGGATCTGTAAGTCGTGGAAATTAGACAAAAGAAATCAAAATGAAGTGTGAACAAAGCAGATGTTACATGACGTCTGACTTTAGCAGTAATATTTCATTTTTCCCACTGCATTGAATCGTTTTCACCCACAAGGCAGGGCAAGAATAGGACAGAGCGCTCCGTCTTATCCTGGTCTTCCTATTCTGATTTTGTACAATTTTACCTTATATACCTCTTATGCTGTTTTTGCACTCATCATATACAACGAATATTAACTAGCAGAGCTTTTAGCATTATCATAAAGTTGCGGTCTTGCAGCTGAAACGTGACCCCCCCCGGCGGAGGGGGGGGGGGGGGGGAGGCAGGCGGCGGGCGGGGCGACGGGCGGCTGCTGCACTGCCACTAAGCTTGCAGTATTGGGTGACGAAAATCTAGCTCTTTCCTTCGGAGCACAAGAGACAGAGATAACAATGAGTGTCCTTGTGATCCTATATGACTCTGACTTACCGACTACTATATCTGTTGTGATGTGTCCCAGCCTATTGTGGCATAAACTTCGTCACCCTTATTATAATGATCCGCCTTCCATCTGGCCCCCTTCATGCCCGTCACGAGAAATTAAGTAAACTAGTACCACTGTATACTGGAAACAAATTAATTTTCACAAAGACCTAATTTTCACGAATCGTCTACATTTTGCAAAAAATAGGTCTCACAAACTATTTGGCTAAAATGTGAACATACAGAAAGCTGTAGTGAGGTCCTTGCGGATTGCAAAAATGGGTACCAGTAATTATTCAAGCTCTTCAGCTTCAGTCGAATTCGCGAAAAATGGAGCCCACGAAAAATAAGTCATGTACAAATGCTTTGTTTTCCCTCAATTTGAAACTTGGCGATGACACAAGCATCAGTGGCCATGGCAGAGGGTTTTGTGGTGCTGGTTGGACCATTTTGCGTAAAAGCAAGTTTTGGAAACTTCGAAGTGGTCGAACTGGTCTTTTGGGGCTCCTCCCTTATCTTTCTGGAAATCTGTCTTATGCACCTTATGACCGGAGATTATGGCGAAGGTCCCCATGACCTGGAGATACAAGAAACAACCCCCATGGTTCGCCGAGCCTTTGGTACAACACTTCCTATGTGCACTGTGAAATCTAATGTTTGTGTGAATGTAATTTCTAAGCTTGACAAAGAGTCATACATGGTAGGGGCTCACTGAGCAAATGATAGCTCGATTTGCCCACCCTGTGGGGCCTGCTAAAGCGCATCACGGCACTTTTCGTGGTGTGCAGCCGCTAGCAGTTGTTAGTCACCCGGCACTTTATGTCTTTGATGTAGTCCTGGAGAAGGAGGCAGCCAGGTGGAGCCAGCATCGAGGTGTGGTCTGCGTACTGAACGAAAGAAAATCTATCATCCTGAGGCATGTCATTGACAAGAAACAGGTACTGTGGCACACTGGAGGGGACGTTCATCGTAGCTCAGTGCACACCTTGGTAAACAAATTGTGCGATTTTTCCCTTCAGTTAGTTTGGCAGCCACTTGAGAAGGAAGCCATGAACGCTGGCGCCTGACATTTTATGTAGCAGGAGATCGATGTTGAGGGCATCGAACGCGTAACTGAGATGAAGCCGTAGAAAATCTTTCTTTTTGCGACTGCCAAGATTGTTGCTTACAAAATGACACGGGGTCGCCAGGACCGTCCCACAGCTGCGGGCGTGCCTAAAACTGTGCTGTGTCTGCAATAAGTATCCAGTGCTCTCTAAAAATCGAGGAACTGACTGTTCAGTATGCATCCTAATGTGCGGTAGATGATTAATGTTATTGAGGTTGGACGCTAATGCTTGACGTCACTTGTAGGCTTCTCTTTCCTTTCGTGAATAGGGGTGAGTAAGGCGTGTTGCCAGGTGGTAGGAACAGCTCCCTCATCGAAAATACTTTGAAGTAGACAGCTGAGGGAGGGATCAAACTGTACTGCGTTATCATCCTATAAAAGGCAGGTGCCACACCATCTGGACAAGGGCATTGTGATGGCTTGATCTTAGACACGGCTGTTCACAGTTCTTCCTTTGAAAAAATGATCCCCTTCACGCATGGTGCATCATTGTCAGATGGTGTGGGTGCGAAAGCAGAAGATTGTGACGACTCCGTGGTTCGTTGGTGTTGCAGACAGTGTTAAGGGCTGGGGGACAGCAAAGGAAGGTGGCCAACTCTGCTGTTTCTAGGAGAACCTTCTTGAGGCATCTTTCGTCTTCTTCAATGTCGGTTTCAAACCTAAGTTCCCTTTCAAAAGCAAGCTGAAATATAAATATATGTTACAAAGTTTCGCAGGCACATACTGGAGTGTACACGTAACAATACTTCCCTACCTGAGAACCCAGTTTGATTTTTTTCTGGAAGCTAATTGGAAAGCCGAAATCCAGAATGGAGAATCTTGATTCAATTCTGGAAATGTCGGTTCCAGATTGGAGAATCTGGATTCGGTTCTGGAAACGTCAGTTCCTAATTGGAGAATTTGGATTTGGTTCTGGAAAAGTCAGTTCCAGAATGAAGAATCTGAATTCTGCTCTGGAAGTTTTCATTTCCAGAATGAAGAATCTGAATTCTGCTCTGGAAGTTTTCAGTTCCAGAATGAAGTTAGTGGAACCATCACCTGAAAATTGATATCCAGTTACGCCATGTGATACATA